ACGCTCCTGTCACAACTGCATGGATAAACTTTAGGAGACATGACAAAACACCACAGCAAGTGCTAGTCTTTGCAGAAAGCGGGAATGCTGCAGCGAGACTCTTTTCGCAGGAGATAGAAAATGTCACTGACATATAGAAATACAGGGACTTTTTCTTTATAAGTTACTGCCCACAAATGTAAGCTCACTCATTTCATTTCATTGTCAGGCCAGTCTGTTCCATATCCTCATGTTCACTTGCTGGGTTTAAGAATTGTTGGGTTATGAGATTGTCATTCAAACAAACAAATGTTTTTGCCAGCGCCTTTACCAGGCGTTGTTGTTTTGAAAGTCTGCCTTGCTTTACTGCGGAGACGCCTCAGTGGCACTCATCAACATTCAAAACTCGACATGCTAATTAGCGGGACAACGCTGCTACACTGTAGCCATTACCGAAATATAGTGACCACATTTAACAGCAAGACAAGGTACCATTCCCGTTTTCATTACGGGGGCACCATAACAGCATCCTCGTCAACAAAGGTGGTGCGTGGCATAAAGCTGCAGCATTATTTCGAGCCAGCTGCATTGGGCCTCCTGTAATGTCTCCCTCTCTTTCCTCTTCAATTTGAGAACTGAAAACACAGCTTTAATCTTTTTCTAATGGTCTCCTCCTGTTTCCTCGTCTTTTCCTCTTCTTCCCACTGGTTGCCTCCTCTGAGTGTGGATCACCTGATTTGGATACCTACCTACCCAGCTGCTTCTCATCATCAATTAGTCGGTTTGTTTACGAAGGGTATAGTTCATGCCCGCGCAATGTGACTTATGGCTGAATTCCATTGAGCTGCTTCAGTCACAGGGTGCTGGTGTTGTGCACGTTGGCTGCACCATTATGGCCAAAATGATAATCACGACTATTTATCTAAATTATTTATCACAATCCTTTATTCACTGCAGGGAATAAATATAGTGTATTGTATTGAGCACTGCTTTCACTTCCATTTTCGTGCTACATTCCTGCTAATTTACAAACTTGCATGAAAATAAATCATAATTTTCTTCTTCACCATATTCAGTGCATTTTCGTTTTGCCCGACATGTAAGTATATCACTCATCTTTTTCATATTGTACCTCTCTGCCCCGACTGTCCTCCGTCAAATAACAGACAAGACAAAATAAAGGTGATAATGTCAAAATGAAATCAAAACACAAATGCTATCAAGTTTGTACAATCATACTGACTGATCACTGGAAATTGTAAAACAGTTGCCAAAGCACAACAATGTAGTCCCATTTCATTGTCTCTCTTCTTAGTTGAAACACAAGACCTGAGACAAGCATCGAGGGCTTTGATGAATAGTATGATGCAGTCACAAGTCTGCTGGTAGATGATACAACTCTGTCTGAACATTATTGAGCAGATTTTAATCCCTGTTCAGATTATACATTTGTTTTCCACAGCCTCGGGTTTTCAGTTTGCTGTTCACAGTTAGTTATTAGTTATACATGACTGCCACCTTGTGGCATTTAGATGTGTGTATGTTGTCAAGAACTGTAAATCAACAGGAAACCCTGCTCATTGCTTTTCTGTTTCAAAGACGGTTAAAAGAACCTTTCAGGTTTATTTATTTATAAATTAGTTTGATGAATGTGCCAACATTTTACCAGTTGATTTTGTCCAAACTTTTATTTGAACAAATTAACACAGCTTTCCCTCACCCTCTCGTCTGCTTTCACTAACGACAGATGGCTATTCATAAAGTTGCCGCTCTTCTTTCAACATGCTTTTTTTTCCTCCTCCAATTCATCTGACGTGTTGGGTGACTTTCCACAAAATGCTCCCATAGGAAAGAGCAGCTATTCCTGCCTCAGAGACAAAGAGGCAAAGACAGCGAGAGGCACCGGGAAAAAAAGTAAAAGCATTGAAAGAGAGATGAGACAGAGAAATAGAGAAAGATGCAGAGGAGGAGAGCAAAGGGAGGAGGAAAAGGGAGAACCAGCAGACAGTAAGAGAGCAGATTCATTCCCCCGAGAACTAATTATAACATCACCACAGAGCTCAGTTCAATGCCACTTTGACAAGAAAAAAATAAATAACTAGTGTTGCACTTTCGCTGCAACAGCAGACAAAACGCACGCAGCTTCTCCACATACATCCCATGCTGCCACCCAGTGTGGAGCATAGATTCTACCGGCTCGTAGGAGGACATATATGCAATTCATCAACTGTATATTTATGTGTAGCGGAATGTTGCACAATGTATATACTTCTGCAGCCGTCCATTCTGGTTGGAAATGTGCTGTAGTTCCCACTAAGTGAAGTTGTAGATTTTAACTTATTTTTTATTTATTTTTTTATTTTTTATTAATTGCAAGAGAATACATAGACATAACAACAAGAGAACGACAAGAACAGTGAGATACAAGCCAGCAAACATCATATAGCCAGTGTATGGGAGAACAGTGTGTGTGTGTGTGTGTGTGTGTGTGTGTGTGTCTGAGCCTTGTGATATGAAAGAAAAAAATTGTAAGAAAGTACATAAATTACAAAATAATAACGTCCGAAAAAAATGCTTTTAACGTAAACAAAGTTTAACTGTCTTTATTGTTGATGTTTTTTTTATTTTTAATGTTGCTTTGAAGATAAACATTTGAAGATGTGGTCACCTGGCTGACATTCCTCGCCTGTACACCGGGTGCCCTCAGTGTGCTCTTCTCATGCTCCGCACACCTGTTGATGATTGCCTCATCAGCCCTTCTGGGCCTCTTGTTTGTCTCCCCAGCTGTTTCATATTGACCCTAATTATGTCCTGGGCTTTATAAGAACTCTCCATGTACCCTGAGGAAGAACAAGAGATGAGGTTAAAAGATAAGCAAATAAGTAAATTAAATTAGTTATGTTTTTGACCTACAACCATCTATATTTTCTCAGCATACACCATTGTACAGCAACAGTGAATAGAAATCCTTGTGGGAGCAAAGGATACTGTGTGAATTATTTTCTTTTGCCTCGCACAAGTACATACAAACAAAGCTTATAGGCTTCTCTGATACAGGTAGATTAGTTTTCAATGCTGAAAAGACACAACGCTACACTTATTCACAGGTTTAAAAAAGAAGTTAAAAACCAATACATGTTTCAAATACTACCTAACCCACTCTTAGACCAATCAGTTGCATTTCTGGCATTAAATAGGCCTGTAAACCAATGCAAAACAACTTGCAGACAATCTGCACGACACAGACACCACAGCAGGGAGCTGAACACATACACCGCCTACAGGAGAGAAAGCAGCCAGTACAGAGAGACAGACAGACGGAGGGTTCACCTCACTTTTTTTTACCTGTTGAAGCCCATTCTTCTCTCCTTCATGAAGGTTACGACTGGTTGTATAATTCATTTGCGTTTCTTTTCCAGACTCCTGTCCATTTTCACCTCCCCAGCGCCATGACTGTATTCGCATCTTCTTCTTCTTCTTTCAGTTTATTGGCGGACTACAAAACAAAGTTTAAGGTGCATGCCGCAACCTACTGTACGGGAGTGTGTAACATCATGACTGTATGACAGTTATCATTTAAACACAATAATAATGTTAATTATAAATTTAAAAAAAAAACTTCATATAGAAGTTATACTCTGGATATTAAACTCATTCCATTCAGAAAATTAAGTAAAGCCCTTTTAACCTGAACTTGTTTGTCCCCTGTCTCTAACAGTCCTTTGATGCTCCACTCCCTTCCTACCGCTACCACTCTGCCCTTCATTCTCTCTCTTTCCACACTGAACTTCCTCCACTCTATCAGCACATGTTCAACACTTTCTTTACGGTTGCATATCTCACATTTATCCCACTCTGTCTTTTTCATGATGTACAACGTGTCATTGAGTCCTGTATGTCCTGACCTTAACCTAAACAAGGTAACATCTTCTTTTCTACATTTACAGTACCTCCATCACTTCTCACTCTGACTGACATCTGAATTTTGTTGTAATTTCTACCCTTATTGTCATTATTCCAAATTTCCTGCCAAGATGTAATAATTCCGTGCTGCATTACTGATTTTGCTTCTGACCTCCCAAAAGCAATTTCCAAAATATCATTTTTGTAGTTTATCTGCAACCTCATATCCCTCTATTCCAACGTGAGCTAATATCTACCTTTTTATCATAAACCTTTTCATTCACTTTTAAGACTTCTTCTTTCCTCTGTTTATGTTTGTCTGTAAGGTGATCTCTACTGTGGACGCTGGCAAATACTCTTCCGAGAAGGTTGGCTTTTTCTATATCTGTTTTTGCAGTGCAAAGAGTCTAGAATGAAGCTTTCACTGTGTGATTCTCAGAGACAAACACTGCATGTGTCACATATATTAGAGGGTTTTACTTTTGAGCCCCTTATTGCTTACTATTTCACACTAATGACAGAAAAAAAAAGACTTTTTACATTGTGTTAACACTTTAAATAGTTTACTGGAATGCAACCGATATAAATAATTACAAATCAATTCATTGAAAAATAAGCTTACTGTAATTAAGAACCGCACTATCATAATATCTAATAACTTTCACACACACAGTGTGAAGGTTTAGTACTCAGTTTAGTTTAGTTTCTGGTTAAATTCCTCCTTTGTCCTGGGGAACTTGCATTGTCGGTGTAACCTCTTTTTTTAAATTTGTTGTCAATATTACTTTGAAAATCTTGCTGTTTGTCTTAGTTCTAATAACATTTTACCATTTAGATATAAGGGGCTTTGATTTGACCTAAATATTAGGAGATTCGATTTAAATATGTTCACGTACGCATGGATTGATTTGTTTAATGATGTGTTAAAGGACAGAACATGCGTTAGAATGTCAGTTGGCTTTTAATTAAGCAAATAATTTAACAATTAAAGTGCAAATCAAGTTCATGTGCGTCAAGCCACGCCCTTCCGTACATGTGAACCGCATGGCCCCGCCCCCTACGATATTATTATGGGCGTTTATTTCCGGTATTTTGCGTCTGGATTTTTTTAGGTTTCCACAGAGGGTGTTGTTATTAGTGTACGTGTGTGTGCGCATGTGTGTTGTGAGAGAGTTGGCCGTGCGGTTGTAAACGTTCCCAGCTCGGATACCGTCACCGCCTTGCACCGGAGGCAGGCGCCGTGTTTCTACATGTAAGTTACCGTCGCGGCTCCACAACCGTTGGCCAGCAATGACCGAGAGCCCCGCGACCAAGCCGGCCGACGGGGATGTGTGTCCGCGTGCGAAGAACGGACTGAAGCCGGAGAGAAACGGCTTGGCGAAGAGCCTCCACCGCTGCCATGAGCGGCAGCCCAAGCACCACTGCCGCCCCGAGGAGGAGATGGAGGAGGAGGTGAGGCCCGGGATGGGACGGGACGGGGAGGAGAGGCTGGTGTAGCCGGGTACATCTACTATGTGGACCCGGAAACACCCGGGACGATGCTGACATTACTGTCACCTCCATTAACTCGCGCGGTGTTAGGATATTACACAGCTCGCCCGTGTCCCGGCTGTCCATTATCTGACAGTTTGTTGCCATTGAGCTACGATTCTCGACTACAAAACGCCGAATCCCATATAAGAGACCCTCGTTTAAAGAGTATTCGCACGTTCTTAATGTTATACGCTCCCTCAAAACATGAACCAACCGCTTTCCACGAGTCATAACGAGACGCTGATTGATTCGGCACAATCATTTTTTGCACCAAGCAACATTTGAATATATTAAAATCTCAACTTTATGAATGGGCTTATAATGATCCCCCACTGGCCCCACAGGTTTTCATTTATTGGCGGGTGTTGACGTTGCACAAAGTTGACGTTGCGCTAAATTCTAAATATGTTTAGCGCATAACATGCATGCCGAGTTGAAGAAGATGACTAACCTAAGTGTAACCAGACTGTGTGTCTGTGATTGGGCTAGACGAACTGGGGATGGTGTAATACTTATAGCCATTTCTAAAAGACTCATCATACAGGACCTCATGACGCTACACCCTCAGAGCCAGTCTAACTACTTGTGGCAGTTTACATTTCCTGTCTGGATGATGGTAATACATCTGCAGGTTGCCTTCCTATCTCCTCAGTTGACAGTGTGCTATTATTAAGGAGTGGTGTGTGTTCTGGTGGAAACTAATTACAGTATATTGGCTACGCCTCTCGACCTCAAATGGCACTATTTACATTTCTTAAAGGATCATTTCTGAGTGTGTATATTGGCTGCAATCTTCTGGGTTGGCAAATATTTGTCTGTTAACGTGTGTGTGTGTGTGTGTGTGTGTGTCCTTGAAGAGGTATCTATAAGGGAGCATAGTGTGACACTGAACCAGTGCGACAGTCCAGTTAAATCATGCATGCTGGGAAACAACTTTTTCCAGAGGCTAATGAAATCAAGCACAATACATACTAATAAAGTGTAAAATACTAAGCGGGTTAACCGTTGGCGAAAGTAAAATTCTTCACGACCATTTCCTTTTTGAAGGACAGTAAAATGGGCAGAGACACACCGTTGCCAGGTTCTTTCCACAAACAGTCCTTCCCGCGGATGGTTCTGTCAACTGGGCTGCAAACTGAGCGCCCGGTGACTGAACCTCAGCTGACGGTATGTGAGTGAAAAAGGCATGACCGGTCACATGCAAGCGCCTAATAGCCGTGAGCATGGAGACCGCGCATGATGGGAATTGCATAACGTCTACAAGTTCCTGTTCCTGTCCCCCTCCCCAGAAGGAGGAAAGAGACCCTTTGCTTTTGTTGAGGACACATCATAAGTAGGTTACGTTTATGAACGCGTTGCAGGCCACTCTGCTCCAAGTGCAGGCTCTTCCCTTATTTGGCAGTCAAATCAAATCCTCCCTCCCTGGCATTTGTTACACACTGTGTACGTTCCTGTATAGTTGGTGTACAGCTGCACCGGAGCTAATGCCTTCTTATGTTCCCTCTACTTACAATTTCACTGCATGTAAGCCACTATTAAAGTATTTTTATTCATTTTCTTTGTCCCCATTATGACAAAAGGACACGGAGTCACAGGAAGACAACGCTACATTTATATAAAGTATTCAAAACGTGAAACTGCATTGCAGCTTAGGCATAAGGCTAAGTGTTTGCATAGGGAGATAAGTTACAACTTTTTACAAGCTAGACGTGTATACATGGAGACAGAGTTAACGTGGGTCTTTTTTTTTCCAACTTTATTATAATAATAATAATAATGCACTTTTTTACCACAAGCTGTGTGTGTGTGTGTGTGTGTGTGTGTGTGTGTGTGTGTGTGTGTGTATATATATGTATGTATATGTTTATATATATATACAGTGGGTACAGAAAGTATTCAGACCCCTTTAAATTTTTCATTCTTTGTTTCATTGCAGCCATTTGCTAAAATCAAAAGTTCATTTTATTTCTCATTAATGTACACTCAGCACCCCATCTTGACAGAAAAAAACAAATGTAGAAATTTTTGCAAATTTATTAAGAGAAAAACTGAAATATCACATGGTCATAAGTATTCAGACCCTTTGCTGTGACACTCGTATTTAACTCGCATGCTGTCCATTTCTTCTGATCCTCCTTGAGATGGTTCTACTCCTTCATTGGAGTCCAGCTGTCTTTAATTAAACTGATTGGACTTGATTAGGAAAGGCACACACCTGTCTATATCAGACCTTACAGCTCACAGTGCATGTCAGAGCAAATGAGAATCATGAGGTCGAAGGAACTGCCCAAGGAGCTCAGAGACAGAATTGTGGCAAGGCACAGATCTGGCCAAGGTTACAAAAGAATTTCTGCAGCAGTCAAGGTTCCTAAGAGCACAGTGGCCTCCATAATCCTTAAATGGAAGAAGTTTGGACGACCAGAACTCTTCCTAGACCTGGCCGTCCAGCCAAACTGAGCAATTGTGGAAGAAGAGCCTTGGTGAGAGAGGTAAAAAAGAACCCAAAGATCACTGTGGCTGAGCTCCAGAGATGCAGTAGGGAGATGGGAGAAAGTTCCACAAAGTCAACTATCACTGCAGCCCTCCACCAGTTGGGGCTTTATGGCAGAGTGGCCCGACGGAAGCCTCTCCTCAGTGCAAGACATATGAAAGCCCGCATAGAGTTTGCCAAAAAACACATGAAGGACTCCCAGACTATGAGAAATAAGATTCTCTGGTCTGATGAGACCAAGATTGAACTTTTTGGCGTTAATTCTAAGCGGTATGTGTGGAGAAAACCAGGCACTGCTCATCACCTGCCCAATACAATCCCAACAGTGAAACATGGTGGTGGCAGCATCATGCTACGGGGGTGTTTTTCAGCTGCAGGGACAGGACGACTGGTTGCAATTGAAGGAAAGATGAATGCGGCCAAGTACAGAGAGATCCTGGAAGAAAACCTCTTCCAGAGTGCTCTGGACCTCAGACTGGGCCGAAGGTTCACCTTCCAACAAGACAATGACCCTAAGCACACAGCTAAAATAACAAAGGAGTGGCTTCGGAACAACTCTGTGACCATTCTTGACTGGCCCAGCCAGAGCCCTGACCTAAACCCAATTGAGCATCTCTGGAGAGACCTGAAAATGGCTGTCCACCATCCAACCTGACGGAACTGGAGAGGATCTGCAAGGAAGAATGGCAGAGGATCCCCAAATCCAGGTGTGAAAAACTTGTTGCATCATTCCCAAGAAGACTCATGGCTGTACTAGCTCAAAAGGGTGCTTCTACTCAATACTGAGCAAAGGGTCTGAATACTTATGACCATGTGATATTTCAGTTTTTCTTTTTTAATAAATTTGCAAAAATTTCTACATTTCTGTTTTTTTCTGTCAAGATGGGGTGCTGAGTGTACATTAATGAGAAATAAAATGAACTTTTTTGATTTTAGTAAATGGCTGCAATGAAACAGAGTGAAAAATTTAAAGGGGTCTGAATACTTTCCGTACCCACTGTATATATGTGATGTGTGTGTGTATATATGTGTATGTATATTTTTTTTAAGATTCTGTCAGTTTTCATGCTTCTTTGGCATTTTCTTGCCAGAACCTTTTGCTTTTTAACATAACACAGCCACAGTGCATGTTTCAACTCCAAAAGTCTATAAGAAACGGTGACGTGCACTCTAAGATAAGATGACTTTTGATGAATTCATAGTCCCAGTCGTTTCCCGTGTCGCCCAGGTCCACGCAGCGCAGCATCACGGCGGCCTGTACGGCCGGCCCTTCACCGAGTCGTTCGAGGAGACGCCCATGCTGGTGGCGGTGCTCACCTACATGGGCTACGGCATCCTGACCGTCTTCGGCTACCTGCGCGATTTCCTCCGCTACTGGAAGATCGAACGGTGCCACATCGCCAGGGAGAAGGAGGAGCAGAAGGTGAGGGGGGGCACTGGACGGGGGCACGGACGCAACGCGACGTGTTGTCTTATGTTGGGGAAAAATAGACCCGATGCGTTTGTTGTTATGTTAACCAGAACTAAACCAGCGTGTTGTCATCACACCACGAAGTTTCTCCAATTAGAAACCATTGACTCTTTATTTAAAAAAGTTTGAGTATTGTTAAGCATTGCTCCAAGCTTCGCATCTGGAGAGGAAGTATGTATTTAGAACCAGATTTACCCTCCGATCATTCAATGGAATGTTCAAGTTGTTATGGCTTCTCTTCACAATTCAGCCAATGTGTCAACGCACAGCTAATGGTGGAGTTATCAGCACAGTTTGTTGAAACGCGTCCTTGACCGCTGAGGTTGTTTTTCAACCCGTTATGTAACTCTTGATAGTGAAGCCCATTGTGTTTCAGGGTTTGGTTTCGTTGAGAAAAGGAAGCGGCTGAGATAGACGCAGGGGAAGTCATGAAATCAGCCCGAGGATGTTTTCTCTGAGAACCAAGGAAAATGAATTCCTTGACGTGTGTTTAAATGTGAAGATATTTCTGTATTTCTTTCCTTCCAGCTATCTCTGCCAAAAGTACGCATGGCCTATAGTTCTTTACTGGTAGTTGTAATACTCTCCCCCTCGGCTAATGTACCCCTCCCTACTCCTCCTCATCGCTCTCTCTCTTTTCATCCTCGGGTAGGACTTTGTGCCCCTCTACCAGGACTTTGAGAACTTTTACACCAGAAACCTCTACATGCGCATAAGAGACAACTGGAACCGGCCCCTATGCAGCGTCCCAGGGGCCAAAGTGGACCTGATGGAGCGAGCGTCCCGCGACTACAACTGGACTTTTGAGTGAGAAAGACATTTATTCAAGGCTGTAAACACTGTAATGTATAAGTCAACAGGAAGGAATGCAGACGCATTAATCAGAGCAGTTACATCCTACTCCTCGTCAAATGCCAAGTAACACACATCACTTTAGGAAAAAGACGTTACTGGTCTACGATAACACCGAGCAGGTTTATGCACCACCTAGAAAGCTGCAATGTCGTGTTGTATGAAAGAGGAAACTGGCACTATGCAAAAGTGTAACTCGAGCTTTGAATGTGTTGTATAGTGGCGCCTGATGTCATTATTAGTCACTACAGGAATTTGGTCTATTGGGCAACATCAAGTTTCCCAGAGCTCCGGTTGATGTTCTCGTTTGAACTCTAATTTCCAGTCATTTATGTATAGCCTGATGCCGCCAGACCGGATTTTCGTCTTTCAACATGCATGTTTTCACCTTGTGACGTAGCCAGGTCCAACCGGTGCATGCATACGGGCAATCGGAGCACAGTGCTACCAGCCAATCACAGCACATTAAAGCGGGGCTTGGCACAAAAAAAAAAAAATAACTGTCCCATGGAAAAATGTAAGCAGACGAGCTGGTATATGAAAGTGTTGCCAAATCCTGTCAGAAGTAGGACAAACACAACTTTTATTTCTAGAAAAGATTTAAATGCATCCGATCGTGCTTTAAGTGAGAATATATCGTCCAATTTACGCAATAGCGGCTCAAACAGAAAGTTCAACGTCAGCTGAAACCATCTTGGCGTCTTTACGGCCTTCGTTCTATTTCTTATGTGAATTAACATGAGGCCAGGGCTGAGTAGCAAATTAGAACACATCTCCTAGCAGATTGATACGGCCCAAATCTATTTTTTTTTTTTTTTTTTTTTCTCCCTTCATATGTGACTGACATGACATAGTGGGAACGGCATCAGATCACATTTAATGTGAAACTTGTGAAACTGTACCAACAGGCTTGCATAACCAGTAGCTTCATCTCCATGATTGTACCCTCCGTCTCTCTCCTTTGCAGTTATACGGGTCGGGTAGTGACGGATGTGATCAACTTGGGCTCGTACAATTACCTGGGCTTCGCTGAGAACACCGGTCCGTGCGCCGACTCCGCAGCCGAGGTCACCCTGAAGTACGGCGTCGGAGTTGCGAGCACCAGGCAGGAGATGGGTACAATCACACGGCGAAACACACACGCCTTTCGACAGCAGGAATGTTGGAGGGATGAATTCTCCGCAGTAAAGACAGAGAAGATAATGGGCCGGTTTGTTTTGTGGCACAGCGGAAACTAACGCGGTAGATTCTGTCTTAACAGCGCAGTGTGCGAATATCACAAAGCGTTGTTTAATATCCGGCCTACCTTAGTCCCCTTATTTCGAAGACTGGTATCCGTGACATTAGTATCGATTGTTTTGATAAATATCAGAACTTTCAGTGCAATTGTAATCAATTCCAGCACAATGTAGAATACGTGAAATCAGTGTGTCCGAGAGTCTGTGTGCACTTCAGGAATGTGTGGCTGAGCTTGGTCTGCTGATTTGGCCTGGAAGCGGTCATATGGTTGGCAGATTTTTACTGATAGAACCAATGACGCTTCTGCTCTGCTTACACATGGAGAGGCCCGGCCGGCCCACATTGTGATTAGGAGTGCATCAGCTTGTGCTCCACAACAGAAGTCTGTTTTAAATCCAATACGTTGATTGACGCACAGTAGATGACACATAATCTCGCCCTGAGAAACAGATCGACGGAAGTTTGATTTAGGGTGCTTTGAAAAGTAACAGTTGTTTTTAGCTATAACACAGGAACTTAAAAAACGAATAGAACTTCTTACCCAGAGTTAGATGAAGCTAGTTATGGAGCTACGGCCAGCAGCTGGTTAGCTTACAGGCTTCAGGCTAACCGTTAACACTGGGAACAAGGGGGAGACGGCTAACGTGGCTCTCTCCATAAAAGCGTCCACCAGCTAACACCGGTTAAGCTAACTATGTAACGCATTATATCTTGTTTGTTTTTAATGCATTCAAAAATGGAAGTGTAAAAACTACAAGTCCTGGCAGCATCACAGTGATTACAGTACGAATTCATCAAACGATGTACTTGATTAGTGAGCTTTGGACGAAGCCAGGCTAGCTGTGTCCCCCCCCCCCCTTTCAGTCTTTATGCTATGTTAAGCTAACTATCTCCTGGCAGGAGATTCATATTGAATGGACAGATATGAGAGTGGTGTCAATCTTCTCGTGTAATTCTCAGCAAGAAAGCCAATAAACATATTTAGCAAGCAAGCTATGTAAGGCTAATCTCTGAGGTTATGTTTGGTATGCTGATGTCCTGTAAATCTGTATCTCAGGTAACCTAGACAGACACGAGGAGATGGAGAAACTGGTGGCTCAGTTCCTGGGTGTGGAGTCAGCCATGGCGTTTGGGATGGGGTTTGCAACCAACTCCATGAACATACCAGCACTGGCTGGCAAGGTAAGACCACCGGTGATAGATGTCTTCTTTATTCTTGCAGCACACTTTTCTATGTTGTCTCAGCACTTTCTTCTTCTTCTTCCCTCTCTCCCTGTCCACTGTCACTCACTCTACATCATACGAATGTTAGGTTTGTAGTAGTGTATGCACTCGCGTATATTCACCTTTTGATGAAATGTGTTTCCTACCAGGCACTTTTGTTTGCGGAGCACATTTAGTTTTAACAAAAAACATTTCGTAACATCGCCACACAAAACCGGCCTCAAATATCAGCAGCAAACATTTCCTGTTGACACGAGCAACTGGTGGTTTGACTGCACGCCAGAGTGCCGTTGTTGCTCGGCAGGTAGACTCCTCGCCACATAGTTCCTGCTGGCGAGAGGAAACCAACGGTGTGAATTCTTTTGTTTGTTGTGAAATGCAGCAAACGGGTGTACACTTTCAACATCGGTAGTAGTTGCTCAATGGCCTCCCTTACACAGGCAAACCGTGTAATCAATTAAGCAGCATTCTGAATCGAATTATCTCAGATCATTTTATAAGCATAAGTCACTGGACTATATGTACTAATGTGATTTTTGTAAGTAGGTCTGTATGTGTAACACTATCTGCTACCTCAGATGGATGGACACACATCAGATGTATGAATCTTTTATAAATGTCATCCTGCAGGGCTGTCTGATTCTGAGTGATGAATTGAACCATGCCTCTCTGGTCCTGGGTGCCAGACTCTCGGGGTCTACCATCAGAGTCTATAAACACAACAGTGAGTCTGTGATCACAAATAAGTCGCCCTTTCAGTTATGTCTCCCACCTGCACTTCTAGGTCAATGTTTCTTTCTGTGTTTGTAAGTCCTCCTGTTTACCTTCATTCATCGCTTCCTTCTTCAGAAGCCCCTATAGCTTTGGTTACTATTTTAGGTACATACGTCATTGATGTACCGAATGACTCTACTTAATAATAATGATATTAATAATTCTTACTTATCCTTCCATATGCTGTATGTCGCCACCATGTGGTCACTTGATCTCATCACTTTTCATTACGCACACTACTGGGGAGTTAGCTCTGCAGCCTGTGTCTCGGGTTAAATCAGGTATCATAATCTGAGGATTTAAGAAATTGAAGAACAGAATGAGTGACGGCTGCTTTAGTTTCCAGGTCCTCATGCTATTGTTCATGCTGGCTCACTGTCATGCTTGAATGCAACCGAAGAATAGCCTCTGTTAACATTAGTAGTAACCCCTGTGCTTCTTCCTGCTGTTTAAGTCGTATTGGCTTTCAGTAAACTGTATCTTCTTTCTGTATCACAAACTTCCTTATATTCACAAAAACACACTGTGTTTGTATGTCAAATGCAGGGGAGAAGAGCTAGCTGGCTAGCTGCTAATGGTGGCTCACATACATCTAGTATGTCTTTAGGGTAGCTCATAGATGGCTCGTATAGAACATGAGATACATTAATTATAATGTGTGATAATTGATGTGTGATTAGTAAAAAAAAAAAAAAAAAAAACTAACTAGCCACTAACTGAGTAGTAGCCATTAGGCTAACTAGCCACAGCTTGGCTCTGAAGCTCCGCCCACATACAAGCACTGTTTGTGTTCATTTTGATGCCTCCATCGTGGTGACAGCTATGGCCCGAGAAATGGTACTTTAGCCGCCTGATGCTAATTACTTATGTCTGAGTAGTTGGGAGCTAAAGGTTGGCTACCAACCTTTCAACATAATACAAATAATTGGCTCCATTATTGAAGAATATGACTCTGATTATTAAGTTCTATTAAATATTCAGTATTGTTGTCCACGTTTTGTTTGGGGGTTGGGTGGTGTCTCACTTTCTTCTAATGAACTCCCAGCTGACAATAAGGTGTTTTTCTGCTGCCACTGTTGATACCACAACTTTAATTTTAAATTTAGTGCAATTACTTGTCTCTCTTGATTTTCCCGTCAGACATGCAGAACCTTGAGAAACTGCTGAGAGAGGCCATAGTTCACGGGCAGCCCAGGACTCACAGACCATGGAAGAAGATCCTCATTGTGGTGGAGGGCATTTACAGGTAGCCTACCCATTTCCTTCACAAGAAATATCTTTAATAAAACCCTTCCAGGTGTTTTGCAGTTAGTTAACTAGGCCAAAAGCAGTTACCAGCTTTAAAATAATTATTTCCTTCCTGATTTCAACATGAGCACTGCTTCACGTAGTTGCCCAAGCAGTAGTTGCATCAGATTCTATGCAATTGGTAACAGCTTCCAATCAACAGATTTTGGCTTTAAGTTTAAATAAACAGGTCTAATTGAATCCAATTATTTCCATGTTTACAGCCAGTTCTCTGTATTTCCCTAAAAGATAAATCAAAGCATGTTTATCAGTAGGAGTCTAACACAAACACTTCCGGGGATTTGGATTGCTGTTTGACAGAGCCGATTCGGTGCTTGGTTAGCCCTTACTGGCTGTACACGCGGTGAGCAACTTTGATGGGTTACTTTATTGTGCCAGACAGGGCGGCTGCAAGAAGCTGCACTGTACAGCGATCTGCAGGAACACTGTGAACTCTTGCTCTTTCCTGTGACATTGTTACACTATTGCCACGAGTTGGCACATATGAGCAGAATATTTGAGACAGTTGTCGTTCAGGTAACGTCTGCTCACTAGTTGACAGGTCCCAGCAGTTTTGTACTTGGCCCTCGAGTGAGGAACAGAGAGTGCAGCCCCTGAGCTCAGGTTTCCTGGGTTGCCAAGAAGGAATTTAACCTTTTTTTTTTTTCCTCTCTCTTTGCAGCATGGAGGGCAGCGTAGTGAGCCTGCCTGAGGTGATTGCCCTGAAGAAGCGCTACCGGGCCTACCTTTACCTAGACGAGGCCCACAGCATAGGGGCCCTGGGGCCGAGAGGGAGAGGTGTGGTCGACTACTTTGGCCTGGACCCCTGTGATGTGGACGTCATGATGGGCACTTTCACCAAGAGCTTCGGCGCCGCGGGGGGATACATCGCAGGGAAAAGGGTGAGGATGCAGGGGTCGTAGGTTGATTTTATCTGTTTTTCAAAGCACAGTTTTAAAAGAAAGCACTTGTAGTCACAAGACATGGCTGGTTTACTGAAGGCTAAACGGCAGTCTTAATGTTCAAGTTGCAAACTATCTCTCAAGATCTGGGGTAACAGTGTCAAGTGACAAAAGTCGCAGGTGTGGTAAAGACACCCGTCATCTCAGTATTGTGGATTTTCTGCCTGGCAGCGCATGGCCGCTGCATTCCTGACCCATTAGCCCTGTAACATTACATCCATGTATCAAAGCAAAAGGCCAGGTTCACAGACGTCTCGACTTCAGGATGTGAACTGCTTTTGTGTTTCCGTGAAGATATTGTGACACTGAAACAAAAATTTCATCTGATGAGACTTGGCGGCTTCTTATCACCTTCTCCCACCATCTTCACCACGAGTGTGTCAAAGTTACAGGATGTAGCTTGAGACGAAGTGTTAATAACCTGCATGACTTTGTAGCAAAACAGTGAGGACCTCACTGGTCTGATAGACTAATTAAATCCTTCCATGCACGTCTCCTTACATCTCCTGTGTATCTGCTGGGTTTAGGAGCTCATTGAGTACCTGCGCTCCCATTCGCACAGTGCGGTCTACGCCACCTCCATGTCTCCTCCTGTGGTGGAGCAAATCGTCACTTCTATGAAGTGCATTATGGGAGAGGATGGAACAACGATCGGTGAGTGGTACAGCAATATATATATATTGTTTTTAAAAGGTACCCTGTAGAGTTTTTAGTAATAAATGGGCCTTCTTTTTATTTGTCTGACGCACATGCATGCGTGTGTGAAAAGGTAATGCAATACACAGTCCCACCAGTGGTTTCACACTATTCCATAGCAGACTGCTAGCAGGGAAACATGGATATAAATGATGCAGGTTTCAATGTGTTCAAAAAAAGATGGAAATGCAGAAGCATCTTGGAGACTTCACACTGAAGGTAGACACGGCTTTTGTTTGTTTACAAGGAAACTCCACAGGGCACCTTTTACACTTGATGCTTAGAAAGACCCCTGACTGCGATTCAGATGGCATGAAGTCTACCCACTGCACTTTCACACAATGCAAGTGTGTCGATACGTTTTATCTTTGATGCTCTGTTACCTGGGCCCCAATGCCTTGCTCCTTTTTTTTTTTTTTTTTTTTTTTCTTCGACCATAAAAGTTAGGCCCTCGATGTTTTCAGGAATGAAAGTATTGAGCATTTGATGCTATCTATTTTTACCAAAAAACACCTCAAGTCGCCTACTGCTCAAACAGCACCATTGAGAGCTTCATTTATTGTGACATGTCCTAATAAGTTAAGAGCACCAGCAAAGACTCTTTAATGAATGACATGCATCAGATACTTTCCTACTGAATCATTTCAAATGAACTGAGAGTGACGACCATCAGACTAGCTTTGTCTAGCTGTGCTTCTTCAGTGTTGAGTGGATCTTATCTTAGCTGCTGTAATTGTCATCAGCCGCCACCGGGTGTCAGTGCATACTAATGAAATCTAAGACGGTCACAGTAGTCTTATCTGTATCCAGTTCCTCCTCAAAGAGTTGAAGGCAATGAATTTTAGAAATAGTAAATAGCATCTCTCTTCTACTCTATTATTGCAAGGCTAGTCCAGATAAATCTCAGCTGAAATGTACCTTTTTGTTCCATTTATTTTAACCCCAAACAGCGTCACTAGTCGAGCTTGTAGTCTTGCAAACCCAGCTATTCAAAAGAACCCTGTGAATCTGAAAAACATTCCCGAGAAAGTGAGAAACCTGGTCTCGCCGTGGTGCCTGGATGCTGTAACGCACATCTCATGAATGTGATCGCTTGCAGCTGCTTGTTAACCTTCCTTTTCTTCTTCTTTTCAAATCATCATCAAACTAGCTATAATTAATTGCCCCCCCCCCCCCAGTCCAGTATTTTGTTTTCTGCATTGATTCTAACTTTTGAGTAGTGAATCGTGTTGAACAGACATTAAGTGGAGCTTGACTTTCACCGCAGCGTAAATATACGAAACGATCATTAACTTCGTTAGAGGGTCAACTCACGTTTCAATATCTCCTCTCGTCATCTCAAGGCCTCAAGCGTGTGCAACAGCTGGCGGTGAACACGGTCTACTTCCGCAAGAGGCTTGGAGAGATGGGCTTCATCATCTACGGCAACGAGGACTCGCCCGTTGTGCCCATGATGCTCTACATGCCCGCCAAGATAGGGTGAGCTTTGACCAGCTGCTGTTGTCCTCCTCCAATCGGAGCAATGCCTCTAAAATCAGTGGACAATGAATTGACAATGGTGTGTGTGTGTGTGTGTGTGTAATTTCTGTCCCCGTTCGGCCCATCAGAGCGTTCGGCAGGGAGATGCTGAAGAGGAACATCGGGGTGGTGGTCGTGGGCTTCCCCGCTACGCCCATCATCGAGTCCCGGGCGCGCTTCTGCATCTCAGCCGCCCACACTAAAGAAGTGCTCGACAGGGTAACTGGTTGCTTTCACCGCTGAACAGCTTCAGATTAGACAGAAAACGAGACTTGTCACTTTGAATGGCTTCAACTTGTGTTGTCTTTGGACAAAGACCTGAGAATATTGTTAAAACAAAAACACAGTGAACAAGCCCTTTCTGCAAAACAAGATAAGGCTTAGCTTCATCTGTTTCATCTTTTTTAACTCTACCAATAGGACAGTTTGTGATTTGCTTTTGACAAAGCCGTACTGAACTGAGCTTACAGGGGCTTAGGGCTACATACAAATACTAGACCTGTACACACATTGGGTCCAGAAGGAAGAGAAAGGTGTAAATGCCAATATTCCACCATTGGCATATTATTTCAGTAGTACCAGTTGATACTACTAGCTTTTTTTTTAATAACGGCTCCAAGTTGGTGTAATAACCTTCAATTTGTTTCAATCCAAGCCAAGAGGTCACTGAAAGGGAAGAAGGGCGGTCTAGTGGGCGGGAAGAACTAACAGAAATTGGAAGGACACAGGTGTGATCTGTCATGACCCCAAAATGTCTTCTTGTGGAGATGTTTTTTGAGTCACTTCAGAATCCCTCCCAGCCCCGTATGTGTGCGTGTTTCACCTATGACCTTCCTATTTCCTCATTGTGTTGCTCTACGTTCGCGCAGACTGTTCCGCTTTGATCGCTCTTGGCGAAACATCAGAGAGCCGCCCACTCCTCTTCCACTGTACTAGGCTCCCTGCAGACCTGCCTGCTTGTCCTCTTCCAGTCACCGCTAAGCTTCGGCCTGTCACTCATTCTCACATAAACACAGATCCTTTCGCACGGTGGCTGAACCGCCTCCCGTCTAATTGGGGTGTCCTTGTGGCTCAGTCGGCTCAGATGCGTGCCGTGTCTCCGGGAAGTGCTGTCGTGTCGGGGGCTGTTATCCAGTCCCGTTCCTCTCTTCTTTTTTTTTTTTTTTAATAAAGTGAAGACAGGGAGTGGGAGTATTGTAGCGCTGTAGTGCTTTTATCTGTCATGATGTTAAAGTCTCTCTTTGTTAGCCGTCCTCTCCGTATCATTCTCGGGTACTTTGATGTGTCATGTCGATTTGTTCGTCTCTTTTATCTGCTGGTGAGCTTTCGCAGTTTTAACTTCTCAATCGAACACACCCACACACGTACACATAAACCTTAATTCCTTTTCTTTTGTCCTTCTCAAGACGTTTCATTTCACTGACCACATTAATATCCTACTGGACAAATCATACTAATCTACACTGACTTCTTGAGGCAGTGGAAACAGACTAAGATTGCTTTATTTAGGGCATTCTGTGGCCATTGTGTGCCATTCAAGTGCTTTAAAGAGGCAAACGTCCAGGGCCTTTCAGTGCCCCCCATGGGCCTTTGGTTTGGGAAAAAATGTGTATGGTAGTCAACGGTGAAAGACAAATATTTCTTTCATCCAGTTTGAATTGTACCATGAATGACACAGAAGATGTAAATTTAAAAGAAAATGTGTCTTTTTTGCATGTCAAGAAAGTCAGTTTGTTATAGATTTGTTTGTGTGAAACTAATCTTCTCGCACAATGATCATCAATAACTCGTCCATCGCCTCGGCTTGCTAGCTAGCTAGATGCCACAATATGCAACCAAGGGAATGAAACGTTAACAGAATTGCTGTAGCTAGCTAAAAACTTTAAATCACAGCACGTCAAAGGATTATTTTAGCACGCTATGTCTACCAGGCGTGAAGTTGATAACTAAAATAATGATGGGACAAGATAGCTGTTAGCAAGATGATGTTAGCTACAGTATGTGTTAGCAAGATGATGTTAGCTACATTGTGTGAGCAAGATGATGTTAGCTACATTATGTGTGAGCAAGATGATGTGGTTAGCTGAGACACTTGCAAATGTTTCGGCAGCTTAAAAAAAACACACAGCAGCTTTTAGAGATTTGTCTTTTGTTTGCTAGCAGACGGAGGTAACAAAGAGGCATCCTCGAGCAATACAAAGTCAATGGAGAGATGCAGGGATGATGTATTTTTGTAGGCCAACCCAGTCAGCAAGCATCACACTGGTTCCCTCGACAAAAGAACAATGGGATTTTTCCATTGGATTTTAGATTATTGCAGAAAATAAACTCCGTGGCAAACAAATGTTTATGAAACGTACACGTTTTGTTCAGCAAGATGGTCTTCACGAATGAGCACCACTTTGAAGTGTAAATGACAGAAGTAAAAAGCTAATGTTAGGCTGAACTACACCACTTCACGTCTCCACCACGAAGCTTAAGGCAGACGAGTGTTCGGCGTGATGACGTTTTGTAGCCTCATTTAGCCACATGTTGGCAACCGCTTTTTGTAAACCGCAAAAGCTTCGAAATTCACCAGATAGTATCTACTGACGCATTTATCGTAGAATAAAAAGTTAAAATGTATTGTATTAACCACAGACCTTATTTTAGGTATCTAACCAAAATAACATTCAAAAAACCCATTGACTTTGAGACTGCAGAAATGCTGACTCATTACGGCCCATCTTCCATGTATAGTAGGTTTAGAGATAAGAGCTTTTACAGGTGAGATGTAAGAAACGGATGAGGTTTCAGATGATGCTCACTCACCTGGCTTTTCATAATTGGATAGAAATTGTTGTCTCTGGACAGATGGCCAATCGCGTTGAGGTTCTTTGTCTTTAAAAGTGTATTGTCCACAACTTTAGGGGAGACACCCCAGACTGACTTTTGTTGTAGGTCTGTGGTCTCTCCTTGTAATTACAATAATGATTATTTCACAGTTTTTTTGCGCAAGTGTTCTTAATTATAATTAATGCATCTTGAAGTTAAAATGTTATCAATATGGTTTCAGAAAGAAAAATGCAATATATATATATTTTAAACATGTGCTGTTCTACACTAATACACACAACTGTCTGTCAGCAAACCAGGTTTTTTTTTTTCTTTGTGTCTTATCTGACAACATCATAATCAACCCAGGGGACTCCGTCTCCAGCAGTCCGTAACATTGCATTCAGTCACAGCCAGGTCGTGTTGTTATTGTGGATCATGTGAATGCTTGAAACGTAGAAACTTTCACTGACATTACTCAGAAATAAGACACTTTTAATACTGATTAGCAGCCGGAAAGGAACTCGTCGTTTCCTGTGCCATAACAAATGTCCTACTGGTGACTTCACCTCAAGAAAGATTGGGTCCATCTGCAGCATTAAAGTCAGCTGTGTTTTTCTATTTCAGCCCATGTTTGTGATTTAAACTTACAAGACCGCTGTGTTTCTCCATAAAAATCTTGCTTGGTGCAGCATTCAATTTCCCCGGGCCACATATTGCCCTTCATGATGACGGCTTTTTTTTTTTTTTTTGTATGAATGTCTCCACAGGCGTTGAGTGTCATCAGTGAGGTAGGAGACCTTCTTCAGCTCAAGTATTCCCGACACAAAGTCCAGCCGTCGTTGGCGCGGCCCGTCGACGATAGCGTGTTCGAGGACATCGACGACTGATGAGCCGCTCCTAAAGTGGCGTGAACCAGAATCGACCCCAGAAGTAACCGAACGGTTCAAGATGGATCACAAGTCTTCCACGAGGACCGAGATGTGCGCAGGGGCCTCCTTGCCACTAGCTGGCCGTACAGTACCCCCCAACAAAAGGAAAAACGCTTCAATCGGTCGTTAATTCTACTTTGCCTTACTTAAACTTGCAGAACTTGTGGTGCACACACTGAAAAACAGCACTTAAACTTATAAAGGTTATTACTTCTTTTTTGTATCATTTTGTGTCAAAGACTTTTAGTTGTGTGTGTGGAGCGGACAAATGCCAACTTTCAAAATGTCTCTTGGAAAAAAAACAGTGGTGAGGATGTAGTACTACTAAAAGTTGCCAAATATCAGAAGATGTTGAGCAGCAGATAACTACCCTGACCAATGCAACGACTTGTTCTAAAGCCGTCGGTTGCCTTTTTTTTTTTTTCAGAAATAAGCTTGTTTGATTTCTTCCTTTCTACAATTAGATGAGAAGATTAGTCCCATTGATATTATTGTGCAGTAAATATGAAGCTACATCCAGCAAGCGCTTGGCTTAGTATAGCCCAAAGAGAAATGGTTCCAGCCCGTAACTCCCATGGATGTATTAAACTTGAGTCCCACTCGGCCCATAGACTTTAAATTGTGACGACGTCGCCAATTTTCAAATCGTTCTGCCAATATAAAACCTCCATGGATCAAAAATACTTATTAAAAAGGGTCATACTGGACCCTGTTTGCATTTCAAGGTGTCCTGTCAACAGTTTTACAGATGTCTCTTTTACAATGGAGGTCTATGGGGGAAATGCTTTTTGGGCCCATGGGGGATTTGTTTTTTTGCTGCAATACCACCAGTAGCCACTGGGCAAAATTGGCTGCAAGGCTGAGTATCCAGGTCTTAATATACATCCATGGTAACTCCACATAAAAGCACAGTCATTTCTACACTGTTTTTTTTTTTATACTAAGCTAATAACCTGCTGGCCCTAGTTTTATATTTACCGTACAGACACGAGAGTAGTATTGATCTCTTCTCTAAATTTAAACAAAGAAAATCGGTGTATTTCCCAAAACAACTTTTCATTTTAAATTTGGGTCAGTGGGCTGTCTGGTTAAATGTCCAATACTTGCTATTGTACGCTAATTTACTTTGCATAATCAGCATTCTGGAAAAACTCATGAAAACCGTCATGAGCTACAGCTTGACAACCTCATTTGCCTCGGCTAACGCCAGCTCTGGGTCAGTCCAACAGTGCCAACATGGAAAATGTATGTAGGTTTTCTTTTTGTATATTCCAACGACAACATTAAAGTACATAATGTAAAAGCGTAATTCAACCCCACAACTCCAAACGTATTGAATATCATTTAAAAATACCAGTTTTCTGAAATGATAAGGCCACATTGCAATTCAGACTAATAATAAGTCACTGCTGTTAAACAAAAGGAAATATCTATTTAAAGTTGAGCTTAAACTCTCATCGTCTGTTACACTTGGGTTTGGCTGGCCTCTCATTCCCACAGCTGTTTTGTATCACCATCACTGACATCAGTATGATTGTATTTTTTATTTTACTCAACCAACTTGATGTGTATTTGTACAGTGTTTGTGTTCCAGATGAATTTAATATCACTTAATAGTCTAATACATTCTAGTTTATTGGTATCAAAGCTCACGTTTAATCTTTGATCACTTCAGTCACTCCCAAGAAGTACGACAAACAGAACTAATCTTTTGATTCCAGACTAGTCTGGATGTGATTCATATTGTTTTAATGCCTGGTAAAAGTGCTGTCTTTGCACTGTGACTTAAAAGGCATTCATACCTTCAACCAGTGTGAGACTAGAGGTGTGTGTGTGTGTGTGTGTGTGCTTGCTTGCATGGTTTCAGGTATGTCTGTGTGTCACTGCACTTTCACCTTGCTTTATTTATTTTCCACGTTCCTGTCTTTCAAACTCTTTTGCTTTGTGCTACTGAGCTTTGGGACAACAACACTGTTAAGTCAAGGCAGCTGTGTGGAAAAAAATAAATTCCACATACATCATTCACACTCGCTTGCACTCCGACAAGTGTTGTAACCACTCGTTCCGCATACTAATGCATGTACAGTAAGAACGAGTCATTGAAGCTGCTCTGCACCACAGCCAGTGGTGCCCAATGAAATATACACTGTTCTCATAGATGTGACTTTTTTTTCTTTTTTCATGTCTTAAAACTCCTTCATTCCAGAGAATGCTAACGTCTTTTTATCCTTTCACGGTAGTTGTTTATCTGTCACTGTCAACGGGAGATTCTTGTGTTCTTTAGTTTCCTTCCGATAGAAAACGTATCAAAACTTTATCGACAAATGATTTTCCATGAACTCGGAGCTAAGATTTACAATGTTACTCGTATAGATGCAGATTGTCTTTTTAATGTATTTTTAAGTTTGCACACAGAAAAGTCATCAAAAGCAGGCATTCAGAGCAGATTTTGATACAAAAATAGAATTATGTCTTAACGATGCTATTCTTAATATGAATTAGATCCCAGTACTGATTGCTGCTTGATAAAACTTGGAGGAGCTATTCATAATATTGTGTTCACTATAGAGCGACCTGAGAACAATGGTTATCATTATTACTGGCATCTTTGGTTGACAGCGCTCGAGTGCGCCATTTATAGAGGCAATTATTTCAACGGTTTAGTAAAAGTTACCACACATCAGAGATAATTATTTTCTGATATAGTGCCTTTTTGAAGCAAACCATTTTCTGATGCTTATAATTAGCACTGGATGTGTCCTCTGTGTTGACTAATTCCCATGCATTTGATCATATTAATGTGTAAAGCGTCACCCCCAGCGATGACGTCAGTTGATTGTTAAAACAATAAAAAACCAAGCGCTTTTGAAATGCCGTCAGTGTTGTAAGACTCCTCTTTAACACACCGAGATACGCTAATGAACTACTAATACCTTATTTCATCGCGCAGCCCATACTGCCCTCTCGCTTCTTTTCTCTCATACATGTTCAACTTTTGAACTACTAAATTACTGTATAATTATACCAATATGTCCACAAAATACAAACACAAAACTGAATTATGAAAATAGGTTTCTTCTCCCCCATAAGTCACATTCATATATGTTTCTCTGGTCCAACATCTTGTTTTGCAATAAAAACATTATCAAGGAACAAAGAGGAGGCATGTATTAAAAAGGCATTATTAAAGGTGCTAAATCATTAACAAACCCAAAATGTTTGTCTCTAAGCGTGGAGGGGTGGCGTCTAAATGGAACTACACGGGGTTCAGGAAAAGTTATTTATTCAACAAAGTGTCGCTCTCAATAAAGACCCAGCTGATTTCATTAACAATGTTTGATTTGATCAAAAAGTGTGTTATATGTGGTGACAACAAATGGATACAGAAACTCAACCAGGGGAAGCTTTTTGGATGCAGTGGGTGCGTTAAAGCATCCTTCTCAAAATGAGGATCTCACTTTTGTTACACTGCCACGACGACGCCGGAGCAGTGTTATCAGCCGTATGAGCGCAGTGCAGAGTGGTGAACACGAGCTAACCATCGGGGGAAACAAACAGGGAATCGCATGCATGCAGCCGGGCCAACTTACAAAGCAAAGAGAAGCTCAGATTACAACCCACGCCACTATATATTATTTACACAGTGCATAGTTGCTGCTATATCAATGCAGTTTTAACTTTTGTCAAGATTTGCCATGATAATAATAATTTAAGGTACAGGGTGGGGCTATAGGTGGACTTTTATCTTAGACTTGAGAGTGGGCGCAGAGTTGTGAGAGTAATGTGATAATCTTTCAAAAATTCCTGGTTTCTTTAAGTTAATTAAGAAAATGTCATCTTAAAAAGGATACCTGCAGGATTTGACTATACAGCTTCCACATACAGTATGTGGCCTGGATTTGAGTATCAGGAGCTGATAACACAGAAAGAACAGCAATGACTTAGTCAGTCCCTGCCCATCTGGATGTTTGCACAACAGCTTCTTTTTTGCAGCAGCAGCAGCAGCAGTACTTATCACATCCAAGTTCTCTCCTCCCCACTCTTCGGTCCGGCAGCGCTTTCTCTCTTAACTCCTTCCTTATTTTCTGCGTTCAGCTGCAAAAATGGCCACAGCTGGTAAGGTAGGTACATAATTCAAAAAGAGAGTATGTAATTACGTACAACCGTGGATGTTTTAGTTAGTTTTTGTAACTTATAGTAGTTTAAGTATAGTCAAGTGTGTGTAGGTAGAAAAACAAAACGTCAGACTACAATGCACAAAAGATTCACGTCAATATATTTTAGTTTAATATAATGAGATTTTTTTCCGTATATATTTTCATAATGCGGATGGGAGGAATGTCTCGAGCTGATACCCGACAATGTGTTTCAGTGCTCTCATGAACAGTGTTAATGTAGTTATCTTTGCACATGATTCTTTCACTCAACTTAACAGTTATTACTATTACAGCTGTCCTCTCTGCCTCAGTGAAATATTGCATGTCCTTTGAGTGTTGAAACTATCCAGACAGAGATTTTGCGCAGCTGTGGACACTGGCAAAGATGAGCAGGTAGTCAGCCAAAAACAACATCACGAAGGTCGACATTGGAATTAAAAAAGAAAGACCGAAAAAAAACTGTTACGTGATGTTTGCTTTTCCAGGAGCAGCATGTATTAGGGTGATGGAAACCACTGTACCCTACCACTGTTAACATGTAATGAATAAATGTGCAGTGAATATGTGAATCCCCTTTGATTATGTTGGCTATGAGGATCATTTGTATGGTATAAGTCATGTGTGGCCTCCGGATGAGTGTTCGCCTTGAAATCGTGCACAGAGGATAGTAACATTTCATCTACCTTTCCAGAAAACCCATCCTAAAATAGTTGAACTGTGGCAGTAGCACCCAGTAAATTGAGATTTTACTACCCTGTAGGTGATCAAGTGCAAGGCAGCAGTGGCATGGGAGCCCAACAAGCCTTTGGTGATTGAGGAGATTGAGGTAGCCCCGCCCCAGGCCAAAGAGGTCCGCATCAAGGTGAGAGACGTCCACTCTCGAGACATATACATGTACACACACAGGTATGTCCTACTGCACATTTGAGGAAGGGGTGAATGAATGTTATTCTAATTTAAGATTTTTGAAGACTTCCCCAACCAGAAATCCATAGTGACATCAACTCATTAAAGCCTTCCTTTGGATATGTAGTGGAGATGGTAAATAGAATGGCTCTCCACTGATGTTCATACAGGTCGTTCTCATCCAGCGTTCGTAGCTGTACCTATGAAAAATAATGATCTAAATAAGTATTCCACAATCTTTTAATAAACCTAACAAAGTAGTTTTGTTGTGTTTAAGGACCAAATCATAGCTCAAATGTTTTGCATGGTACACATGCAGGGTGCCAGATCATCAAATACTCAAAATGCAAAAGTCTTGAAACAATGGGTCATTGATTTTTGTCAGAGGCACTTTGTGACTTTTGTCTGTGAAAAGCACTTTATAAATACACTTTACTTACTTACTTACTTACTTACGATACCTATAACCCTAAACAATGTAGTTGGCTAAAAAAATTCCCTTTGGCCTTCGAAGTAACGTCCAGGTTCTTCTTTAGTTAGCTAGACATGCTAATGTTTGCATCTCATGCTAGAGCAGATTAACACACAATTGAATCCATTCCTTGGTCCACTGGTACGGTTGCTTTGCTATGATTTCAATTGCAAATGTTTAAAGGAAGCACGATACCCAACTCTTGACAAGAAACACGCATCAGTGTTTTCATTGTGTGGCCGTTTGTGTTGGGTGCAGATCGTGGCGACCGCAGTGTGCCACACGGACCTGTATCATCTCTTTGAAGGTATGCATAAAGATGGCTTCCCTGCAGTCCTCGGCCATGAGGGAGCCGGCATCGTAGAGAGCGTCGGGCCTGGAGTCACTGAGTTTCAACCGGGTCAGTTAAAGCTTACAACCTTTAATTTGTCTAATGGCTCAATGCTTCTTTTCCTGTCAAACTTTGTGGTAGCAATGCTAACAACGACAACACCAAGGCATATTTGTGCTACTCATCCAAACAAACCTGTTTTACATTGGATTTGTTGCTTTGTTAGTTGGCCTAAAGTTCCTTGGACATGGCTGCACTGTATTTTAATTTCAGGAGACAAGGTCATCCCCCTGTTCATCTCCCAGTGTGGAGAATGTCGCTTCTGTAAGAGTCCCAAAACCAACCAGTGTGTGCATGCCTGGTGAGCTCATGTTTTTCTTCTCATCTCTTCATTTTATGAATCCAGGATCCATGGATGATGGTGCATTGACATCAAATCCACTGTGTCTCTACATATGTCATAGTACTCAGTATGTCAGAGGAGCAACTGTAGGTGTTGTCTGATGATGGCACAGAACAGTTTGTTTAGGGCTTTGTTTTTTTTGCACCCTCTAATGGAACATGGAGCAATGCAAACACTGAGTCTCAAGCTATATTTTCATTCTAACAAATTCTCTACTCAGGGATGCTGATGTGATGTCAGCCCCAGACTCCAGGTTCACCTGTAAGGGAAAGAAGGTGCTGCAATTTATGGGAACCAGTACCTTCTCTGAGTACACTGTTATGAACCAGATGGCTGTGGCTAAGATCGACCCTGCTGCCCCTCTGGACAAAGTC